GGCAACAGCCACAGAGATGGATCACGATGCCTCTGCTCCACAACCTCAAGACACAACCACGACTACCAAGCCTAAGAGGAAACAAGGGGATAGAAAAGGAAATCTATATCCAGATAAGGCATGCTATGTGATAACGGAGGTCGGGCCAGTAGGGGAGATCCTTGAGCCGAAGGAATTAAGAAGACGATTCCGTAATGCGATCGAGGCCCTAGTAAGAGATAAATTGAACTCAGCAATCCCTAACTGGAAAGAGGTACCAGAGAACACAAAGAATGCACTATGGGATAGGCAGCTGAAGCTCAATTTTGGATTTCCGGAGGGTAAGCACGAATTGGTAAAAAAAATGCTATCAGGATGATGGGAGAGTCATTCCGACGTTGGAGGTCGGAGCTCAACACGAAGTATATCCAAAAGGGGTTAACTCCCTTCAACGAGTTCAGCAAAATAACTCCTAGTCAATGGGAGGAGCTCGTGGCTCAGAAGACTTCACCGGAGGCATTGGAGCTCAGTGCCCGTAACACCGAGCTGGCGAAGAGGAACAAACACCACCATCATCTAGGCACCGGTGGCTACTATGCCAAGGAAGAGCAGTTTAGGAAGATGGACGAAGAGGTCGCAGCTGTTGGGAATATTGATGTGACGAATTTGAAGGTATGCTCAAGGAACTGGATATATGCGAGGAGTACAGAATCATCCGACGGTAATCTTAAGTTTGATAAGCCGGAGACCCAAGAGGCCGTATCAAGGATACTAAAATATGTTGAAGACAAGGAGACGGGCTCATTCAATCCTTCCAGAGAGTGGGACGAGCTTAGTCTTGGCTTGGGAAACAAGGAGCACATAGGCCGCACCAGGGGGCTAGGGAAAAGGATGACCTGGAAGCAAGGATTCGAAGAGGACAGGCACATGTACAAGAAACATGGCCGAGACCGGGAGACTAGTCTTGAGCTCCAAGTGAAGGCTCTAGTTGCGAAGGCGCTGGAGGAGCAAGGACTATCTATGGAGCCACGGATATTAGTGACGCCGCTGGGAGAACTGGCATTAGTTGGCAGCCATCCGAAAGTTCCTAGCAGCCAAGGTTCCACTGCAGCCACAACCCCAGTCGATCGCATACGGGAACCAACTAGTTGCACCTTGGTGTTTCTCAGCGGCCGGCAGAACACTGTGATGGAGGTGGCAACGGGTGTGGCACATCCTCTCGGTGGCTTACACCACAATAATAAGATACCGCCGGACTACACTAGGGTCGAGGTGCATACAGTGAAGCCCAAGTTCATGCAGTGGAGGATAGACTACGCAACTCCCGAGGGGCTGGTGTTACTCGGAGACGTTATGGGATAGTTCATTATCTGGCACAAATGGGACATTATATTGACTGCTTCTTCGCCGCCTCCCCCTCTCCCAAATTTGGAGCGAGTTGTTGAGGTCGGGGAGATATTTTCACCGTCTCGTGACCCCCACATTCCTGAGATGCCACATTCTTCCCCACCTCCTAGCGAGCATGCGCCTGATGAGATGCCACAACCTTCTCCAGCTCGTACCGAGCAAGTGCATGATGAGATGCCATAGTCTTCTCAACAAGCACAACCGATACATGAACAACAAGTGCCTCCTAAAGAAGGTGATGCACAAGAAGATGAGGACGTGCCTGAATGGGAACTTCGAAAGAAGATTCCAATCAACATAAGGCCAGTTTATGTTCCGATCAAAGACGTCTCGTCGGTGTCCAAGTGGTATTCCCATGACCAGTTCAAGCCTAAGAACCAAGTTAAAAAAGTCCCATCACGGAGTTCTGAGGAGGCCGTCACTAGCAAACTCCACCAAATTACAAAGCAGTATCCAAATGTTGATGCGTTCAAATGGTCAAAGGATTGCCTGAAAACATATGAAAGAGGCAAGCCCTTCCTACCAAATCGGGACATCCAGCGCCTACCACTTGGAATGAGAAGGTTCCATGATTGGTACTTGCGTGTTCTCCCAACGAGCATAGATATCATACAAGCATGCTTCCCCACCGGCACATTTGGAAGCCCAGCCAGGAAAATTGTCTTTGACTTCAATGACATGCACACATGCTTTCACCTGGGAGAAATGGAGATGAATCTAATTCTCACGTGGTGCCTGTAAGTCCTTGCCCTCCCGATATGATATGAATGTAATCTTTGAATTTTGTTGTAACTAACTCACGCCGTGATTTGTAGAATGCAAGTGCACATTGTCAAACAAATGCCAAGTGTGAAAGCCGGGTATGTAGACCCTCAAGTTATAGCCCAAACAAATTTTAATTACCCTAAACGGTGGACACTGAATGCTAAAGAGCTAGCTGCTGCAAAGACTCTTCGGAAGAAAGAGCGCATTCGTACAGCGAAACTAAGGAAAAAGTCCCTTAAGGTTGCGGCATACATTGCCCTGGCTTTCAAAAATCTCCAACAACACTCTACTATATGGCTACCATACAACTTCGAGTAAGTTTAACTCTATACTTAAAGCTTTGTTCGATATATTTTATTCGATGCAAAAGAGCTTATCTAGTTCTATGATTAAATCCATGCATCAACCACTGAATTTGTATAGCCGTCGATGTCGGGAGGAGCATGGCATGGGTCTTTGATTCATTAGATAAGGGCACGGTGACATACAAAGACTTCATATCGATTCTCAAGACGTATACATATCGACAATCCTCATTAGCTTATATGTTTGTATACATACTTATAATGTTCACTTTTGGATACTAACAAGTTGTATTTGCTAAAATAATTCGAACAGGGCATTTATGTTCTATGTCACTAATCATCATGGAAGACATGATCCAGCAAGGAAGGAAAAGCTGGCTATAAAAACACAGTGTGCGGTAAGTGTAACTTACTTCTTCAGTACTCCGTTACATGGCTGTCAAAAGCATTACTTAACATTTTCATATGCAAAACACACAGTGCCCCAAGCAGAAACCTGGGAGTGTACATTATGGATACTATATATGTTCTATGATGAGTAACACCGGTGTCTATAGGAGACACCCCTTAAGGGTAAGTTTGAACCTCTTCACCCGTAGTATAAAAACTTCATACATGGTATGATATACTAAACCGAAACTTGTTCTCTTGTAGTGGAGAGAAGAGAAAGGAATGAAAAGAGACCCATACAAGGATGACCAACTCTTAGAGCTCGTCGACGACCTTTGGAACTTTATATTGGACCAGATTGTACACGTCAGAGGCGCCTACCATGACCGAGAGTCTGAGTTAGGTACAAATCCTCAGTAACAACACCTTCCTGAGACTGAAACGCTAGCTCTAGGACGTTGATAACAATGTGTATGAAATTTATATATTTAATGATGGATTGTATATATTCTTGTGAATTGGACTTGTAATTGTAGTTTATAGAATACTCTTGTGCTTGTAGTCGCGGTCGCGGGGCGTTCGGCAACGCGAATGCGGTTCGAAACGTTGGTCGCGGGGCGTTCGGCAACGCAAACGCTGGTCGCGGGGCGTTCGGCAACGCGAACGCGAACGCGGTTCGGAACGTTGATCGCGGGGCGTTCGGCAACGCGAACGCGGTTCGGAACGTTGGTCGCGGGACGTTCGGCAACGTGATTTTGAATTGTAAATTAATTTTTTTTTGCGGGAAAACGTACTGTAAGGGCGGTTCTAGATTGAACCGCGGCTACAAATACCTGTTTGTAGGGGCGGCTGTTACTACAACCGCCCCTACAAATGCATGATTTGTAGAGACGATTCGGTAGGGGCGGCTGGCCAAACCGTCCCTGCAAATAGTTACGAGCCGCCCCTAAAAATCAATTCTGTAGTAGTGCCAGCCGCTGTGCTCCTGCATAAAGACAGTGCAGTGGTGCATGTTGCCGAGGAGCCGATCGGGGATGCCACCGAGCCCATGCAGTGGCGGAGCCACAGGTATGCCGATATATACTATATAATATATAGTGTATACGTTGTATTTATAAAAAAAGAAAAATAAAAAAGCATACCTGGACACCATCACTTGACGACGGGAGGCCCATGTAATGTGGCCCACTCGGCAAGTGAACCCATACGGTATACGCGCTCTGAGTCTCCGACTCTGTACACGGCGTTTCAGTTTCCTAATTTGAGTACGGAGCCACGGAGGAACACACAGCCTGCGCCTGATGCCCTGACCGAGTGGGTCGAGTCGGTGCCACCCTGGCCCCTGGTGCCTGCCGGCTGCTGCCCTCCGCCGTCTATTTCTCGCACGTCTCGTTTGCAATATTTACGGTAATTTAATCTTTGTTCTTCAGGTTTTTATAAAAAATTATTGTTTAGCCTTTTGAATGATTGTCTAGTCATTTTCGTTGAGCGAGATAATTTTTTTAAAGTTGATGAAAATGATATAGCCAAGACATTCATGTCCTTTTGTAAGCGTCGAATAAACCGGTGAGAAAAATAGCATTATAAGTCTCTGGTACTTTTTTATACCTATATTTGAACTATTTATATTGTATTTAGTGGATGGTCTGAATCTAATCCTTGAAATTTATCGAATCATATTGTAAAATTTACAATTATTATGGAATTGCTAAAATAAATTTACCGAATTGTATATGAAATTTTTTGAACTGCATACCCTAAACTAAAATCCTAAATTCTTCACTGAGCCCACGTCCTCCATACGCGTCCCCATCTTGCGGCGGACAAAGCTACCGGGTGGACGAAGCAAACGAGCTATCAGAGGCAAACGATCGACCCATCCAATCTTTAATCATTACGTACATGATGATGTTTGATGAAATATGGACAAGAGAATATTTACAAAGGCTGTTGTAATGTTCTACTTTTTGGAGGGGTTTCCTGCTATTTTAGACAATAGCTAAATCATCGATTTGAGAATATATATTTTTCCGCAAAGCTGTTGGAGCTGCTCTTAATCGTCATTTGACTCGTCTATAAATACCCATCTTGTATAGCCTCAAGCACCGTCACCGCACTTAGCAAAGGTACGTCTGTCGTAAGCAGCTAGCTACCATGGCGGGCATCACTGTGACAAGGAAATCCCAGTCCTTCGTCGTGCCGTCGTTGTCCGCGCCGGCGCCGACGACCGAGACGCTCGAGCTGTCGGCCATCGACCGGGTGCCAGGCCTGCGCCACACGGTGCGGTCCCTGCACGTGTTCCGCCACCGCAAGGACGACGCCGCCGCCACCGCCCGCCGTGACGCTGCTGATGCTGCTTCTGCCAGCAGGCGGCCGGCGGAGGTGATCCGCGCGGCGCTGTCCCGCGCGCTGGTGGACTACCGCCCGTTTGCCGGCCGCTTCGTGGGCTCGCTGTACGCCGGGGAGGCGTGCGTCGCGTGCACCGACGAGGGTGCGTGGTTCGTGGAGGCCGTCGCGGACTGCAGCCTCGACGACGTGAACGGCCTCGACTACCCGCTCATGGTCTCAGAGGAAGAGCTGCTGCCGGCTCCGGAGGAAGGTGTTGACCCTACCAGTATTCCGATTATGATGCAGGTACGTACACTTTCGTTTCAACACGTACGTACGCATGCATTTGAAGCTTTTTGATGACTGCAGTTTTTCTTTTCTGTCTTCTATTGTTTACTAAGCTTTTGTTATCCACACGATGGAACTAGAAAACCTGCAGCATATGACACAGTTGCCATTAGTCCACATGGATCATCATGACTATATGCACGTGCTTTTCGTATGAGAAACAATTCATGCATGTAAAGAATTCCTAAATTGGAAAAATGCATATACGCGTAGAGTGCATCTAGTTAACAAATTATTTTTGATGTCAACAGAGCATGCAATATTATTTTTCAAGCATTTCAGATATAAATTGATGATCACAAATAATGATTTTGCAGTACTGTAGCAATTGCCGTATTTATCTAGCATAGTCGGTGAAACCGACCTCCTTTTGCATGCATGTAACTAAGCCCTGCTTAACTTTATTGTGTTTTAATCAATAATTTTCACAAATGCACTGTAAGTAGGTAAGTTTTATGAAATTAATATTGAAGAATTCTATACTAGCATAATATGCACTTTTCATTTTATATATGTTATAAAATTTTCCTCTAACAAATAGGAGATCGACATTATTTTAATTGGGCCAGTTATCTTAACTATATAGTCTCTCCGTTCTAAATTATAAGACATTCTAGTATTTCTAGATACATAACTTTTGTTATGCACTTAGATATACACTGTGTCTAGATACGTAGTAAAAGAAATGTATCTAGAAAAACTAAAATGTCTTATAATTTGGAACTGAGAGAGTAGTTCCTAATAAATGTATACTGTCTTAAATCGAATAAGGAAATCATGGACATAACAACAGCTGCTCACAGTAAGATAGTTTCTAGAAACTGATGTTTGAGGCTGGATGAAGTTAAACTTGGTACACGTACTGCAACCTTTGTGTGAATTCAGAAATTCCAACTGGGGACCATTCATCATCCAGGAACAAAAATAACGCTAACGTTTTCTTTTTCCTGAAATGGCATTAGCGATATTTTCTTGGCGTGTTGCTGATGATTGCTGGCAGTTCTTGTTGAACTTCCAAAGTTGTGAGGAAATGTGCGTGTCCTGTCAAACAAAATTAATTAGTTCGTGTTACTATACTGACTCCACCAAAGTGACTAGCTATACATGTTACACTGCACCCTCTTTTTTGGAACGAAGTCCCTGCATTCGTTTGGTAAACTACCACTAAAAAATTCTTAAAAAATAAAATCATACAGAGAAAGCTTCATTTCAGACTCATACGGTTGTTTCAAATTAAATCAAATCTGCCAACAGTTTAGGGTTACAAAAGAAAAATCTATATCCTGCTCAATAAATTCGATGTTCCAACTTCATATAAGCAAAACCGATCCTGGGTAATTAACCATGAAATTTTCTCCACTCAATACAAAAAGTCACACTCACTAAAATAACTATTCCAACTTTCATGAGAATGACATTGCTGGTTTTCATGAAAAATCAACAGTTGAACAATCTTGTTCCAGCTAGCTCCATGAGAAAAATATTCAAGATTACAATGGAAATTGTTCAGCTTAATAAATAAAAAACTACAACCACAGAAGAATGTTCTGGGCTACGTTACAATAGAAGAGAAAATCCTCTCCATAATTAAAAATGTTATACTTGAGAAAAATGCTCCGGTAAAATATAAAATTACCTAGAAATATATGTGATTATGAATGTTTTAGGGGATAACATAATTTAAGACAGTGATACGCTGATTTGGACAGCTCAGCGTGTGCAACTAATAGTACCAATTTGAATAGTACAAATAAAAGGGTGACTTAATTAGGCCTATGCAATATTTAAGTGTGACCTGACAAAAGCTGAGGACATAGATCCATACATATTTTTGTAGATTATGATGATGCAGTCGGGGATAATTTAGTGCTCATGCAAGCTTAATTTAGTGCTCTGTGGCCTACTTATTTCGTCCTGCTTGTTGTATGTTTCTAGTATATCATGACATGAAGTTCCTTCCCCACCAGTCCACCACCAAAAAGTTAATTAAAAAAAAATGAATCATTGCGTCACGTGTTGTTAGTTGTTGACGACAGGACTTCTGTCACCGTACTTATATAAAAAAGCTAAATACGACCCTCATAGTCTAGGCCTCTAGGGTGCACACATAACGCATACGGGAACTAATATTGACCCTCACTGTCGGTTGTTGGTATGGAAAAGACAATATTCCCAGATATTATTCTTATACGTATGTACGTGTGGTATAGAGAACTACAGCGACTTGTTGACTTGACCATGGTTAATGAAGCTCAATATATAGCATTTACTGCAGCTTTCACTTCAACACGATCGCTTTAATTTGAGCCCGGGAATATTTGTGAAAACTGACAATTATGTTACATCGATCAATAAGACCTTAATTTGGCAGTTTTAAGTACTCATGTGTGGTAGTGCCATACAACTTCTAGATGGAATGGGAGATGAATGTAGTAATTCCAGACACTTTGCCAATAGTCCATGATCACGACCTTTATATCCAAAACTAATGAGAGTGATGCACTGGCCACGTACTAGTGACTTTTCTGTCTTCTCCTCCAGTAATGATTTTTGCGTAGGAGAAAAACTGACCAGTGCTTTTCAACGTGCTTGTTATTTCTCATAATCCATTGAGCAAAGCGGTAGCATCTTTCTAGTAAACAAAACATCACCAAGTCCATAATACTATATATATTGGGAGAGTATATTCAGTAGCCGGCTACAAAAATAAGTTATTCTGTAGCCACCTCCATTTACGATAATTTTATATACTAATTTACGATAATGTCAATACATATTTACGATAGTTGGGTTACTATAACACAGGGGATATTTACCATAACGTTATAGTAAACCACTTAGTAATGAGTTACTATAATCTCGTAAATTAACATAGTAATTATCGTAACTCAAAGTGGCTACATAATAAGTTATTTTGTAGCCAGCTACAGGGTAGTAGTTCTATATATATATATATATATATATATATATATATATATATATATATATATATATATATATATATATATAAACCTTATCGTAACTCAAAGTGGCTACATAATAAGTTATTTTGTAGCCAGCTACAGGATAGTAGTTCTATATATATATATATATATATATATATATATATATATATCATCGAAACCTCTACAAATCTAGGCACAGTTGACCTAAATCAGGAGGGTAGTTGAACTAAATTAGGTACATCTTGTCCCCAGGACTTCCTTGTTTTCTTCTATCTATACAACCAGCATACACCCAGAGCTAAGTCAGGTCCACCATAGAGTAAACACAGCTAACATACAGCTTGAACAAACATCAAGCACCAGACAATTGTTGATACTATAAAACGGAACAATTATGCTCACCCAGTTGTGGTAGCTACAAAGTCCTGAGTGCATAACTCCATGTTTCCAGCAAAAGAAGCAGTATCAAGTCATCGCTTTAGGTAGTGTGTACTCCGATCCTGTCTCCTGCTTCTAGTCAAAATCCACACAACCAGTACATCTAAACATTGATGAAGCAGCTTCTCCATATCTCATCTTAATCATACAATGTCACAAACTTCCAATTACTTACAAAATGTTGCATACTTTCCGAATCTTATTCGTTAGTTATCAAGATTTTATAATTTTTATGAAGTACATTCATTAAGTCAGAGCGCCAAGGTACTAAACTTAATTTTCTAACTCAATTATTTGAAACACCATGCCACCAAACTCTATTAATAAAACTTAACTGTGTACCAGGTCACGGAATTTTCTTGTGGAGGATTTGTGGTGGGGCTGGTCGCAGTCCACACCCTTGCTGATGGGCTCGGTGCAGCCCAATTCATCAATGCAATTTCTGAGTTTGCCCGTGGACTTGATAAACTTACAATAGCACCTATGTGGGCTCGGGCGTTAATACCAAACCCACCTAAGCTGCCTCCTGGGCCGCCACCATCCTTCGAGTCCTTTGGGTTCAAACATTTTGTTATGGATGTGATTTTTGACAATATTGCACATGTCAAGACTGAGTACTTTCAAGCCAATGGACAATACTGCTCTACTTTCGATGTTGCCATTGCCAAGGTTTGGCAAGCTAGGACCAGGGCAATCAAGTACAATCCGGATTTCAAGGTCCATGTTTGCTTCTTTGCCAACACTCGCCACCTCCTCACACGGGTGCTACCTAAGGATGGGGGCTTCTATGGAAATTGCTTCTATCCGGTGACAGTGACAGCAACCGCTGAGGATGTTGCTAGTGGAGGATTGCTTGATGTGATTAGGATGATACGGGATGGGAAGGCTAGGCTTCCTTTGGAGTTTGCCAAATGGTCCACGGGCGATGTGAAGGTAGACCCATATCAACTGACATTCAAGCACAATGTTCTATTTGTGTCTGATTGGACGAGGCTTGGATTCTTTGAGGTTGACTATGGGTGGGGTGTACCAAACCATATCATACCTTTCACTTATGCAGACTACATGGCTGTAGCAGTTCTTGGGGCTCCACCTACAGTGAACAAGGGGACTCGAATAATGACACAGTGTGTGGAGGAGAAGCATCTCATGGACTTCAAGGATGAGATGAAGGCTTTCTTTTAGTTGCATGGCTTTTATTAGTGTGAAAGTTATGAATTTATGTGTTCGATTGAAATAAAAATGTTGTTGACCAGTAGCCTCATTGGTCATATGAAATGTAACATTTTTATTTACATAGATGTGCCATGAAGTTTATGTCTAGAAACCAGTGACCAATGGAGAACATGTACAATGGAAAATATCCCTCTGAATAAAAAATGTTCTGGCATGAGAAAAGTAATGAGAATGCTGTGGATGTGTATGTGTGTTTTGGTTACGAAATATGCTTGAGAGGAAAACATAATTTAAGTCACTTAAACAAGTTGATTTGGACAGCTTAGTCCAAACAAGTGACTTAGGAATCTATCTATATCTCTTAAATATAATCTTAAACCCCACTAACAATCTATCTATAACTATATCTCTTATAATTCTAAACCCCACTAACAATCTATCTCCACATGCAAGCTATCCACCTCAGCAGTCCACCAACATATATAATTACAACTCACTGGCACGTACATTTATGATATCCACGTATGTCAGCGAGACACATCATCCTTATGACTTGCGTTTAGCTGTCCACGTCAGCGTGCCACATCATCCATCAACATGAATTATAATAGTTTATCCCTTTATATAAGTAATTGTGTATAGTCTAATTTTATTCTAAACATACAAAATTGCTGCAGTAACGCGCGAGGTATGCTTCTAACATGAAAGATTTGAGTCACCAAAGACCAAACAGCTGAGGAGATAGAACCATACATATTTTACGAATTTAGCATTGTTTTGATGCAGCCGAACCCATAATTCGCACTTCCTACACGTAGTTAACAACGTCATCAGGTCTTAATTTAGTGCTAAAAAACAAATGTACTTGATGCGACATGTTTGTTTCGTCCCCGCTCGTTGCCAGCTCCATAGTCCTAAGTGCACACACGGATCGATCTCACACGTTAATTAAGTTGAGTTGCTTCGAAAAATAATCAAGTATATAGTATATAACTTTTCCTGTGTAGTAGAAAATAATCAATTATTGGTGTACAAAAGACACTATTCTTACGTGTGGTACTCAGTAGAAAACTACAGTTAGACCAAGAATTTTGAAGGGTAACTATCGGTTATTGGTGTACAAAAGACACTATTCTTACGTGTGGTACTCAGTAGAAAACTACAGTTAGACCAATAATTGACTTGGAGATGAACCTCAAGATATAATAGCATGCGCTACAGCTTTCACTTCAACACATCCTTGTGCGTGACCTCTTTGAGCCGGGGAATTGATAATTGTTAAAACATGCAAATAAGGTTTGTTTCCCTAATTTCCGTCAGGCTCCACAGTTGCTAGCCTAATCAGTTCAAAAGGCACTACTAAGGAGTTGCACACAATCTTCGGAGGTTATGAGACACTATTCAATAATTTGCCAAAGATACAATTAGTAGTGACCATTGACAGAAAAAATATCTAAGTGTCGTAGTGGGTATAATCACTTACTTGATCATCAAAGTTTTATAATAGTACTCCATTTCTTCATCAGCTACACTGGAAGATACACCTTTGTCATCATCAAGAGTGGTAACAATATTTGAAGTTGTAGACCTCACAGAAATATTCTGCTGTTTTTTTAGTACTCAACTTCTGTTTCGCCAAATGGGCTGGCCTATTTGCTTCTAATCGCAATGGCTTAGCATTCCCATGCAAGCTCTGATCATATTTGATAGAACCGGTAAAACTTGTAGATGTGTTTTGCCACATGATCTGCCAATGCCAGTAGCAACAACCATTTATTATAAAAAAATATAATGTATAGTTCGACACAACCATTTCATTGCACATATATTGATGCTGAGGCAGTATATTGCGATGACAAGTTCATAATTCTACACATAATATAGCGATTTAAGCATATAGACGTACAAGTCTAGAAGACACTATGCACATGAGATATATAACGGTAGTGTTAGCGCCCGGACGTCTGGACGCTCACGCGCTGCACTCTGTTTCGAAATCGCACACCCCACACGAGCGTCTGCGCCACTCCAAACGCCCCGAACGTCACCAGCCCAGAACGTCACATGTGCCTCTGGTTCGGATGCGCAGCTGGCACCACCAAGAGGAGGAGGAGACACCGAGGCGAGCCAACACAAGGTGAGGAGGAAGATGTAACACTGGATCTAGTTTTGAAACATCGAGATGCAACACTTGCAACATACGTTTAAAGACAGATAAAACACTTAAACCATGTGTCTGAAACACTTGTAGAAACACCTCAAAAACATTTGAAACCATTGTAAAACATATGCAATATCTAGATAAAACACTTGCAACATATGTGTGAAACATATGCAACATCCAAATAAACAGACTTGCAACATACGTTTGAAAAAACAGATGAATATTGGGAACAAAAGCTTGCAACATGTCTCTGAAACACTTGCAATATATGCAACATCCCAATCTACTTTTGCAACATCCATATGAAATACTTGAAACATAAATATGAAATAACTAAAACACTTAAAACAAGCATTTGCAACATAGGGGGGCTGAGGCCGGTTAATTCCGTCCATGGGGAGGCGAGCAGCCATGATGAGCGAGCACCACCAGCATGGGTCGCTCGTGGGTGCCCTTGGCTCGGGCGAGGACGACCTGAGGCGCCCCGGCGCATGCGCCTACCATCTGCAGGGGCAGCGTCGGACCCACGACGTCTAGGCATCCTGGCGGCTCTGGGGTTGAGGAAGAGCCGAAGAGGCGCTGCGCAAGCTGAGGGAGGAGGCGGCGTGGTCAGCTTGGATGGAGGAAGGAGGCAGCGGTGGGGCTCTGTGATTTCTCGGAGACATGGAGGAGAGAAAGAGATGAGATGGGGTACCGAATGTGGTGGATGCAATATGTGGACAAATGTGAGGCTACGTAGCGTTTGGAGAGACTCCCGGTGTCCCCGCACACTCTAATAGCATTACCGTGTATATATATACTATTTGGAGAAAAAGATAGTCGCAGAAAGGTACATCTCCAAGAGATTGGCTATTCCCTGCATATAATCCAATTTGTAAAATATAGGTCTCCACGAGACTTTCTATCTCATCATCTAAAAGTAGCTACTAGTAGCTATTCCTTATTTTTTGCTGGCCATAAAAAGCAAAAGGGTCGACTCGCTCGCCAAATCCGTGAATCCCGTCTTCCACACACCGTAGCGGGCTCCGCCGTGCGTGCGCGTACTGTGATTCTTCCGCGCGCCGAGCATCAGCCAGTATAGATGGCCAAATGGGCCAAGCCCGATGGGCCGGTACGGGCATGGCCCGAAAAAGCATGGCCCGAGCACGGCACAGCACGAAGGCTACAGTGCCAGTGCCGGCACGGGCACAGGCATAGTGCCGTGCCTGGGCCACGACTTCGGCCCGCAGTGTCCACTGGCATGGCACGACAAATGGGCTAGCATGAGAGCGGCCCGATTGCTACCTGCCGTTACATGTCCTATATGCTTTCTTGACCGTTGGATGCCTCTGATGAAAAAACCCTACATATAAAATCCCACTCGCTGTCTCGACTGGCCGTCCCCACTGCCTCGTTTCTTCCTCCGCCCAATACGTCTCTATCGTTCTCCCAGGCTCCCGTCTCTTTCTCGGGACTCTCTCTCTCTCGCTCTCACTCCCGAGACTGCCTCCATCCGATGCCCTCTCCCTCTCCTAGTCGCAGCAGCCTGCTCCACGTCGAAGACAACACCGGCGACGCCACGGGGCACAGGGACGGCAGCTCGCCCCAGGGAGACCAGAACCCGGTCGTTCCTCTCTCCCGGCCCCAGCAGCCAGCTCTGGGGACGCCGGCAGTACCAGCGACAAGACGCGCGACTGCAGCAACGACGACGAGGTCGCTGCTGCCGGTGGCGCCGGTGACGCGGGGACAACGGCAGCGACGAAGACGCCTGGGCCGGCATGGGTATGCTGGGCGGCCGTGCTCGTAGTGCCGGCACGGCACGGATGCTAGGCCGTAGTGCCGTGCCTGGGCCAGGATGCCGGCACGGCGGCACTACGCAGCACGGCACGGATAAAACATCGTGCCTAGCAGTGTCATGTCTAATAGTGTCATGCCACGGCGTGCCCATGCCTGTGCCCTGTCGTGCGGCCGGTTGGCCAACTACATCAGCCAGCCAGCCACCACTACTGCCAGCGATGAGCAGCAGGGGCCAGGGACACAGCCGCTGGGAAAAAAAAATTCTATGCATGCGTGCTGTAGATGGTGACCCGTGCAGCACCGCATCACTGCCATTGATGTGACTTGATAGACAGCTGGTAATTCGTAGCGGTGAACCGGGTGGTAATTCGCAGCATTGCGGTTGCAGACCACGATCGGCTGGTCATTCGCAGTTGCAGGCCACGATCCCGTCTGATGTTTTACCGGATCGCAACTTTCGTCACGCGTGCGTGAGGGCTGATCTGATCTCACTTGGACGGTGGTGATGCGGTGCTCGCATGCGTACCAGCCACTGCGCGCTGCCTCCAGCCGGCCACCGAGCGGCTGCCTGGCCAGTGGCCACGCAGGGGCCAGACGCTGTGCTCCTGCATAAAGACAGTGCAGTGGTGCATGTTGCCGAGGAGCCGATCGGGGATGCCACCGAGCCCACGTCCTCCGTGCGCGCCGATTTTTTTTTTCTTTTTTAGCCTTTTTTCTCAAAATTTTTCACAAATATGGCCCCGTTTAGATGTCCCCAAAACCCAAAAATTTTTGCACAGTATCCGTCATATCGAATCTTGCGGCACATGTATGAAGTACTAAATGTAGACGAAAAAAAAAACTAATTACACAGTTGGCCGAGAAATCGTGAGACGAATCTTTTAACCCTAAATAGTACATAATTGGACAATTTTTACCAAATACAAACGAAAGTGCTACAGTAGCCAAAAGCCAAAAATTTTCGGAACTAAACACACCCTATGTCCTTGGAGTTATGCTTTCAAACTCTAGACCCTTAGCCCAGCGTCATCGTTGGTGGCGCCGAGCTTAAACGTCTCAACGCCATAGA